TATGTATATATATATATATATATACACGTGTATATATATATACGTGTGTATATATATATACGTATATATATATATATATATATATACATTTGTATATATACTTTTTAAGTCATGTATCATGCATAGGAATGCTGACGCCTGCAAGGCTCTGGTTTTAAAATTGAATAATTTATGATAAAATGAAAGACAAATAAAATATACGGTATGTATTGATATCATTTATATAGTGTGAATGAATGTTATTTGATTGTTTTCTTATTGGTGTTTAAAATCTCCCGTCACATTCCGATGCAAGATATTGATTCCCACGATCAACTATGGTACTGTATTCTTTCTTCTGATTGCGCGCTGCTCTAACTAAGTCCAGTCAGCCAGGACTGTTTTACCATGTAAATATTATTTGGGCGACCTTAGTATAGCGCAGCGTACGTTTTTTTTGTTTTTTTTTACCTGTTTACTGCAGATCTTAATAAATTTGAATGCTAACTTGCCACTTCTAAAATATTTTGCTGGGATACATCAAAAGCCAATTCAAATTTGCGCAAAAAATAAGATTTATATTGATGTACATTATTCACTGCCTTTTGGACCTTTTCAATTGTGTAGGCCTAGGAGTGTTTTCGAAATGCTACTGGATACAGTGATTGTAGGCCTAATGATATACACAAAGCACATAGTGCTCAGAGACCAAAGGGAGCTGTGATAATTGTCTAAAGATTGTTGTATGTACAGTGCTCTACAACAAGGTTATTTTCATCCTGAAATTTCTTTAAAGAAATCACATGAATTGAAGTCGAATGCCTGACCAACCTTTGAAGCAAAGAAATCTAGGCCTAGGTCGGCAAAAAATTGCCGTCCTGTAGCAATTCTGGCTCGGCAATATGGTCGGCGATTGCCGATGTGAAATTCATGGGCTGGCAATCCATCGACTGCAGTAGCGTATCTAGCAGTATTAAAATGGGGGGCCTTGTGGGGGGGAGCGACCAAAATATGAGGGGGCGTTGAATTTATTTTCGGTGGCCACACCCACTGAAAAATATTGCTTCTTAGATTCCCAAATACACATTAACCGTGGCAGCATAAGCCTAGCCTAGCCTAATTTTTTTTGCTTCGAAGTTTTCGAATTGGGGGAGGGGGGCGCCTGGGGGAGCAAGCTTTTTGTGGATACGCCACTGATGGACTGTGGCTACAAGTACAATATGTTGCTGAGGGTGAATATCTTCTCCAATGGGTTAGAACATTAAGAAGATATTCGGTGTCGGTGTGGTGTCTTTGTAAACAAGGAGGGCTGCAAATTAAAATATAATACGCTCTCTCACCTAGATTGATTCATCTTTTTAATATTTCAGGTTTAGCATGGGGCGTTACAGTGACAGTGAAGATGAGGAGGATGGAGCTAGAGTATATGTTGGGGACTTGGGTCTGGATGTGTCTAGCAGAGAGCTAGAAAAAGCTTTTGACAGATTTGGGCATATCAGTGAGGTTTGGGTTGCCCGAAATCCTCCATGTTTTGCATTTGTTGTCTTTGATAAGAAACGTGATGCAGAGGATGCGATTAAGGAAATGAATGGCAGGTAAAACAAAAGATAAGCACACAGTGTATTCATACATTTATTTTTAAAAGTCAAAATTTTGAAAGAACATTGTAGTCTTATGTATCTCTGTTTACATATCAAAAAACATATTTCTGCCCAGTCTACTCTACTTGTTTTTCCCTATCACAAACACAATCTTCTCTTGTTCTATGAGTTAAGCATAATGTATTTGCACAGTGAGTGCATTTTTTTGCTCCTTAACTCAGAAAGTCTCCCTCTACGATTAATTGATTCCAAATTGTCCAACAATAAATTCTTTCTGTTCAATTAACCAAAGCTCTTTTCTAATTCTGTGCATAGGTGCTATGAAATGCTGTTTCATTATTATTATTATTTTATTAAATGATTTCAATTTGACTTTATATAATAAATGCTCTCAAATGTTTATTTCCTAATTTTAGAACCGTACGTGGTAATCGTATTTCTTGCTCACTGGCCAGACCTCGTACTCGTGGAAGATTTAGACGTGGTTATGACCCAAGTATGAGATGCTACCAGTGTGGTGACCGTGGCCACTTTGCTCGTGATTGTTACATGTTCACCCGGGGCTACCGACGATACAGCAGGTTTGTCGAAAGCAGTCTTTTATTAGCACAATATATAAGTGGGGTTTTTTTTTGTAGATTAATTGTAACACAAAGTATACCTGGCTACTTACTCACTGTAGATATATGTTTTTTAAGGTTTGTTTGCTCTAATATGTATTTTGTATAGCTTTTTTACCACCTCCTAGAAATCAAGAAAATGACCACACAAGTTTCAATAAGTCTCAGTTTACAGTAAAAATACTGTTTGTTTACAGGAATTTCACTACAAAAAACTTTAAATTTGTTGCCAGAAATTGGTACATGATAATTCTCCGCTAATTGGTGAGAAATATATTAACTGAAAGCTATTAACATGTTAATATATGAGGCTTGCCATCCCTAAACCAGCATCAGTTACCAAAAAATTAAAATTGACTTTTTAATATTTTCTTATTCTTCACATTATAAGATTTAAAATGATGGGTCATTTACTAGCATTTGCTTACTAATTAAGACTTCCCATTTACGAACTCAAGATTTTATGAACACAATTTGTGGCGATGACATCATTACGAATGATCACTTTAACTGCAATAAACACTTAAAAGTTGTATTTAAAAGTCTTCAAAAATAATATAAAGTGTTACATCAACTAAGAAAGCCAATAAACTGACATAAAACTAAGTTTAAAGCAAGAAAAATCAATCCTTTTCAGATATACAGTTGAACTTGCCTAAGTCGACTCTGCTTAACTCCATTAATTTCTGGGTCAAACTTATTTTACATGCCAAATTGTTGTGTTTTCCGTTAATTTACAATCTGTATGTCAAATTTTCGAACAATTTTTAAATGACATTTTGGATTCGACTTAGGCAAGTTCAACTGTATTACATTTTAGCTGTGCATATTTGTTCGGGCATACTGTAGTAACAGTAAACCCATAGTAAATGTCACTTTTTGTTCATGGGATTCACTATTTGCATGGATTCGCAATATTTATGAAGAGAATAATACTCATTCAACTAAATACTTAACAGTGATTTTGGCTTCTGTAAAGAATTATTTTGTTGCAGAAAGCAGTAAAATCCAAGTCATATTTTGTGACAAAATTTTGCTCCCATGGCAAGGCTTAGGCCTACCTAGCCCTGTAACTTGTAGCATATGCCTAGGCCTACCCTCACCACACAGAGATGTTATGAATTACTCTCTAAATTACAAATTTTCTTATTCACGAACTCTGTTCGGACGGAGGGGTACGTAATTGGGAGATGTTACTGTATTGCCAAAGTTATGAGTAGAAAAATGACTGTACAGCTTCTCTGTACTAAGGTATACAATACTGGCACATTCATATGCTAATTACTCGGTTTAACAATTAGCGACAGTAATGCTGGTTTTGGGATGGCAAGCCTCATGAAAATAATAATATTATATTTAGGTGGCTATATCTTTGATGTGTGCCTATCTTGTGGGACTCATTACATTCTACTTTCCTCATTGACTTCTTCAAATATTAGTTTGGATTTTGGTAATTAAAAATAAATTTACTTTTGTTCTGTTATTGTTTATTCCATATTTAGAATATTTAATAAAGGTAGACGTTGCATTTTTAACCAAACCACATTTTTTTGTTAGGTTACGCTGTGTTGAAATCTCTGGGAATTACTCAGGTTGTCGGTATACCCCAAATTCAGGCTGCTACTGTAATAAATAAGTCTGATAGATTTTAGCATTCTGAAGTTATTTAATGATTTCAAAATTATTATGAAAATTTATTTACAGTAATCTCAAATCAAAATCAATTTCCCTCAGTAATTAATATTAAAAAATGCACTCGCACATTTAATTAGTTAAAAATGGTATTTTAAAAATAGGATAATCATATTGCAATTATTGATGTGTGCATAGCTAGTTTCAACTTCCTAATTAAGAAAGTATAATAAATACTCCAAGTATAGAAATACATGCCGTAGTGTTGGGATTCAATATTTCAACATTAATTATGTCATCATTCCTAATGATGACATAATTAATGTCGAAATATTGAATCCCAACACGATGGCGTGTATTTCTATACTTGAAGTATGTATTATACTTTCTTATCTGAGATTAATCAGTGGACCTTTCGATCTTCCTAATTCTTATTATAAGTCAATCACTATTTTTTCATAGTGTACAGTTGACTTGATCTTTTTAGGTTTCTGTGCAAAAGACCAATTCAACTTAATTAGAAATTTTAAACAAATATATATACTTTATATAATTGGTGTACCAAAAAATTAAAACACTTCAGTCTAAAATGATGTACACTGTAATAAAATACTTGAAAATGTGTAAATTTTAAACTGCCTCTGTATCTTTTAGGGTTTTTTTTTTATTGTATTCAGCTGATTATTATTATTTATTTTTAAAAATTTTTTTACATTTTTTTTATGATACATATGTATCAATAATATAATTCTAGGTACCTTGCTGGTAGTTTTTTTTATTGGATCTAAACTACAGGTGAAAAATGTTTTTAGCTTTGAGGAAGAATATACATAAAGAGAAGAAAATATACAGAATAGGAGAGAGCAGCTGTTTTTAAGATTTGAATTTCAATTACAATTTTCGCTTAAAAAGAATATGTTCAATTTACATTGCATGAGGTTTATAAATCTGTAATGAAGAAACAATTTACCCTTAAAAATCTTTCGCTACAGAAAAGGGAAGCAATGGACAATGGACACTAAAAATGTCAATGGCATTGTTCTTAAAGAGTTCTGAATTTTCCCCTAGCAACTTTCCCTAAATACGTCATGTGATTTTGATATATTTCTGTACACCATCGTCAGGCTGTGTGATTGGTGGACAGTGTGGTCTTGTCCTGTTGTGGGTTAAACTGAGGTCATAAATGGTGTAGAAATCTTCTGTGACAAGATGGTGACCAACTAGGTTTTGTTAGTGGTTGTTAATGGTGGTAGAGAGCATGTGCAATCACCTGTGACCTCCAAGCGCAATGTGGATTGGTGGAACCCAGAGATGGTTGGTTGCTATTTTCTCCAGTGACAGTAAATAATACTGAAAAAAAATGGGTATTTATTGGGTGGTAAGTAAAAACCCCAAAGAAATGCGTGTTGTGATTAAAAACAGAATAAATAAAAGTATGTATTCTGATAGAATTGTAATTGGTTTAATATTTTGTTGCAGTTACACGCACCAAATGCATGAAGGGGTAATGTTTGCTGCCTTTTTTTGAATAGGAATCTATATTACAAATTAAATAGATTTGTTTTTTGTAATGTTCAATAATTTTTTTTTAGTCAATTCTAAAGGTTCGTACTGTAGATTGAATTCCAACAGGCTGTAGAGAGCACATAATAAAAACATGTAAAACCATTAAAACCTGCTTTCTATGTGATAACACAATCTCTTACTATTTTAGCATTAGTTTTCCGTCTCTATATCACAATTTCCCTAGGAAAATTGAAGCAAAGGAGTGTAAAAAAAAGGTATAGGTTTAATACTTAATAAAAAGTTTGTTATCATGTGATGTGTTTATTTGTTATTTACAGTTCTCGTTCCCGGTCAAGATCTCCCAGAAGACGATCACGGAGCCGAAGCCCAGGGTAAGTTGAATACAATGATATTAAAATTGATTACAATATATTACTACTGCAATTATAGATTGTTATTTCCAGTGTGTATCCAAATAGTAAAAAAAAAAATTATAGCTAGAATTGAATTCCTGATGATGACCATAAAACTTCTTTAGGTGAGAATTTTTATACCTTGTTTAGCAAACCCACCACTTGCCAATGATGCTACCTTGAAATCTCCAAAAATAAGATATGTTTTTATTTTATTTTATTCAGTTCGAAACAAACAGTGATAAAAACCACCACTAACAGGTTGAATCAAAACGTAATAAAATATTACAAATATATACAATATATGTATATTTCTACGTAATAATATAAATTTAAAGCATTTAACCATCCCATTACTACACTGTTTACATTCACCAATAACATTTTATTTTTATTTTATCTGGATGTGTTTGGCAAAACCATTTACTAAATAAGAAAACAAATCCTTTGACAATCTTTAAAAAAAAATAAGGTACATTGATGCTATCAGTTATTCTAACACACTAGATAATGTACCAAGATACTACTACTTTTTTGTAGACAAAGACGGCACAGTAAAAGAAGTCGAAGCCGTTCCCCGCATAGGTAAGAAAATAGATTGTCTGTACTTAATATTTGTTGTATTAATTAGACCTAAGTCATATGACGTATATTTGAAACAATATTAAAATGATCACAACCAGTGATGCTCAGAAGGGGAAGATGCATGTCTTCTTCAGAGAATTTTTGCTGTATGGCAGGGTTATTGATGTTGAATAATGTTTTGAATAACCTGGGAACATTCTCAGAATGATTAGCTAATACTCCAGAAGATACTGGCCACAAATATTTAGGTGTTTCAAGAAGAGTTAGGCCTAATCACCTATCTGTGGTTATATAGGCATTGCTAGTCTTCGTTCTACATAATGTTAGTGGGACAGATCCTATAGGCAAACTCTACTGTACACTTATGGTGAAGTAGGAGCCCATTGAACAATCTCTGTCTCATACAGATTTTCCAAGCCATTTTTTTCCCGTATTATTACGGTTAAGGTTATTTTAATAACCTTAACATTTTCTGATCACACTATATAATATACCAACTAAATTTTATGACCACTAGTTGTGGTTCGCTGATTGTCTATTAATTTTTGTATATTTAAGTTAATATTTTAGCACTAAATCAGTCATATTGCCGGTACTTGTAATGCGATGTTTGTTTTTCAAAAAAACATCTCTATTGTTTCTTACGGCATATATTGAACCAAAGTACTAGCTTTCTCACTTGTCACCTGCATGACGCTTGAGGTATACAATACTTTGATATTCTTTGTTTTAATGTTTCTTGTTATATTTTTACCCATGTCAATTATAGAAGAAATATATTCTTGCATTATTAATTCTTAGTGTTATTAATTCTTAGTGTTATTACTTTTGTAGTTGCTGATGTTATTGTTGCTGTCAATATTATAATAATTCTGGATTTTTATAGCGTATCATGTCAACCTTGAGGCGCTTGATTAGTATTATTACTAATAACTTTTATTGTTATTAAAAAGCATTTATATAGCGCCTTTACAAAAAAGATTAAAGCGCTGTACATTAACACATTTTTACCAAGATAAAAGGAAGTAAAATAAAAAATAAATAAATAGAAATGGCAAGTAGAAATTAAATATTCAATCAAATTTCCTGCAAAAAACTAGTTAGCGCTAAGAATAGCAACAATAAAACAAGAGTCGGTCAAGTATAGATAAAAACCATTATAAAAACTACACTCTAGGGAAAAGATATGTTTTTAAAAGTTTTTTAAAAGGTTGCACACTAGGTCCCGGCGGATCTCATTGGGAAGACTTTTATTCCATAGTTTTGGACCAATCCCAGAAAAAGTACTCTCACCAAAAACTCTATTTGTAACGGAAACTACAAGTTGTAGTGGACCTAAGACCTACACGACCACAATTTTCTGCTGGACTGGCAACCAGTGAAGTTCGCGTAATTATGGTGTACTGATTTAAATAGTAATGATTATGGATAATAATTATATGAAATTATAATATATTAATTATATTAATGAATCTCTTGATATTGTAATTAATTTGATGTTTTAATTACTGATTTTCAGGTCTTATACAAGGGGTCATAGAAGGTACGTTTATTTCAAAAATTCAATAATGAGCAAATTAATGCAGAATGTATTTACAAGATCCTCTTCCTTGGTTTGTAATAACAAAGATTTTGTTATTCTCACTCAGGTCTCGCTCACCAAGACGAAATAGATCAAGAAGTCCTAAACGTGCCCGGTCTAGAAGCCCTAGAAAAGACAGATCTAGGAGCAAAGACCGAAAAGAAAGATCACGCTCAAAATCAAAGGAAAAGCGTAGGTCTAGGAGCAAGGAAAGAAGACGCACCCATTCCCAGAGTGGGAGAGACCGTTCCCGATCAAAAAGCAAACAAAGAGATCATTCCCGATCAAAGAGTAAAGAAAGAGAAAGATTCAGATCAGCAAGCAAAGAAAGGGAGCGTTCCCGAAGTAAGGAGAGGGACCACTCAAGTTCTAAAGGGAAAAGAAGGGATCGCTCTGGATCAAACAGGGAAAGTAGAAACCGCTCTCGTTCTGGAAGCAAAGGTAGGGATCGATCAGGTCCTAGAAGCGAAGAAAAGGCTCGTTCCCGATCAAGAAGTAAAGATCGATCATCCCCAAGAAATGAGGTAAAGGGTCGCTCAAGGTCAAAATCACCACATTCCGTTAATGGCGGCTCACCCAGGAGGTCTCGCTCCAAAAGTATAGAGAAAATGTCAGGCAGCCCTTCAAGATCACAATCAAAAAGCCCCTCCAAGCCATACTCCAGCAGCAGTCCTTCAAGGCAACAATCAAGAAGCCCCAGTGCGTCACCGGCACCCAAACGGGAAAGGTAAGCTCAATGATTAAATGTAATGTAAATTGGATTCGATTTATTCAGTGTGAAATGTCTTATCTTCAAGCTAAAAACTTGCAAAATTCTGTACTGTAATTTTTATATGTGCAAAATTTTGTGAAATAGTTTGTAGGAATAATATTTGTTTTTGAATGTTTTCCAGGTCAGATTCGAGGAGTGATGGAAGTTCAAGAGGTCAAAGGTAAATATGACAATATCTTTATTAGATTGCAAATTGATTTCTTCTATACCTTCCACCCCCTTCTGCTACCACTATCATCTCTCTTGCTAAGACCAATTTTACCTTACTGATGTTGATGTAAGCCTACCCCACAAATGACACTTAGTGCCTGTTTCTACTGGAAAGAAAAAATCGATTAAAAATCCAGTAGAAACGGGACTCTTCATAAAAGAGCGATTAAAAAAAATCAATTAAAAACATGCAATGGATAGCGTGTTTGGACAGCAAATAACCGATTTTGGCTGTGCACTTTTTAGCTGCTACACAAAAAGCGATTATCAGGTGAAATGTGACCTCCAGCTCAAAGTTAGATGGTATCATGTGCAACTTTCAAAATAATTAGTCCATTTTTTCATGCCCTAGGCCTACAAGCTAAAATGTCAACAGACATGTGAAGCGACGAAATTACTCGTTTTGTAATAAATTTGTTGGGGATATTCGACCTAGGCCTCTCCGCTCTTCTGGGCCTACTGTTGTCCTCGTTAGTTCGCTTGTTCGTTGTGCCAATAAGCACAGCCGAAAGCATTCGCTTTCTCGCCGCACACTGTATCATCTTCATCATAACCGAAATTCACATGAAATATATTGTCTCGGTGAGAAAGAAACTATACAGTTTGGAAAACGTGTTGTATAAACCAAACGGAGACGTAATTTCCGCAGCTGCAATGCGGGCAGGTTGTCTGGGCATTCATTAAACATCAATTATTTTGTGTTTATCAGTAGAAACACACCCTTCATTGCCACTAAACAATTTAGATGGCATAAATTAGCCTGATTATCCAACTGCATTATTTACGTCATATGCTCAAATCCTCACATGAACATCCTTATTAGTTTAGCTGCATAAATTATTTCAGTGCATTTTAACTCTTGATTTATTTACTGTATAATTTTTATTGGAGACCAACCTCTTTCCATTTAAGTACAGTATCAGAAATTTAGGAGTGGACTGCAAGAATCAAAACATTTGCTTGAAAATTTAGGTGGGGGGGGGACTTATGTCAAATATTGGGTGATAAATTTAAAGTTGATTTATTTTAATGGATGAATTAGCCTTTCACTGACTTTGATAAACAAAGTTCCAAAAAGGAGCTGGTTTAGTCCTGTGTTTTAGGTAGCAAGTGATGTTGCTACAGAATATAAAAACCATGTCATGTCTAAGAACCACATGTGAATTTAGTTGTGGGGAAAACATCACACAGTATTTTTTATTTTTTTTTAATTCATCTTTATTGCAATCATAAAATAATATAAAGATTGGAAATTACAAAATCAGTCAAAACAATTAAATACATTCAAAAGTAAAACAAGGACAAGTACATTCAAAAAAGGTCAAAAAGGTACATTACGGAAGATAGCTTAAATATGAAATTTTAAAAATAGATAAAAAAAATAGAACAAGCATAATTATTTATTAAAATTATTATATAGAAACATTATTAAATGTATTTTAAAATATAGATATGAATATAAAAAGGAGCTTAATTGTATTACAAGTTTTACATATTTTAAAAGATAAAAAAGAGCAATCCAAATTTACAAACGAGGAAAATTAGTATTTTACAATTTCAGCAGCAGCAGTATTTAAGTTTTTTTCAAATTCAGTAACATTTATTTCGTAATGGTCATAAGAAAGAAAAACATACATATGAACAATTATATTCTTAAAATTAAAAAAGCGAAATTAAACCATCACAGGGATCAAAACTAGAAGTAAAACTTGTCTCATATTGACCCCTAAAAAAAAAATAAATAAATAAAAAAAAAATTAAAAAAGAAAATTTAAAAAAATAAATAAATAAATAAATTTTAAAAAAAAAAAATAATTTTTAATTTTTGTTTTTTGCAGTCACTCAGGATCTGAAAGTGATGGTGATTAGATGTTAAGTGCAGTACAGGCTTTAGATTTTATAGTATAATGGGATGAAATTGGTGGGTTGAATTGCATATGATATCCAGACACATACTGTACTTGTATAAAAATTATAATTCTACAGAAAGTGAAAACGTTGACAGATGCACTGAAATTGTTTCCTTGTGGTAATATGCATTCTTGTTAGCATTAGTCTTATTGAAAGTGATGTTAACTTGTGCATTAATGTCAGATCATGTATGGTAAGTGTTTTCTTTAATGTTTAATCAGTTTTTCAATTGATATACTTTTTAGATGTTTTAGTAATTAAGAGTGTAAACAAATTTTGACTTTAGATAATTAAGATTTTTTTTTGTCTTGTAAACTTTTTTTTTTATATAGTGAGACAATAGGACACTGATAATTTTGAAACTTGAATTTGATTGTTTTTTAACCAACTTAACCCTAGTCAAATGGTATTACCATTTTGGTTGAATTATTACTATGTATTGTGTCAAACAGAGTGCAGGTTTTAACTTGTTCATGATCCAACATGAACTAGCACAACATCCTAAATAAAATTAGAACACGACAAGCCAGGCAGGCCATGCTTAGTTCTGTTAATTGGTAAAATTGTGTTTCTGTCGACTAAAAATTTAAATAGACCATGTGTTGACTAGAGTAAAAATTACATCAGAATAATTTATTTTCCCTTTTGAAAATTATTGTTACCCATAATTGAAATTTCTGCTAAGCCTGACCCTTGAATAATGTGGCAACAGTCCCATAAAACTAAGCTAAAACAATGTTGTGAACTTATTCTTCAGTGGGACATGCACACATATTACTGGCATTGCCTATTGGTTGTTTGTTCAGTGATACTATTGAATGGTCCGTTGCTTTAAACATCCACGTTAAGAACATATAATATCCTGTGGAAACAATGTTTTAATCTAATAAAGTATTGATTTTTACTAATTGATTGTTTGGCAGCAATAAAGTGTTTATGCATGACATAATTATGTATACACATGTGTAGGTACAGTATGCGGTTCTAATTCCATCACCATTGAGAACATAAGATTTCATAGATGCATAATATTACATGTCATCGTTTAATGCCCTAACTTGAGTTCAATAATATTTCTACATTTACCTTGTAGGTCACAACATTGTAAAAAGACAGTCATTATTCAATCAATTTTGCCTTGCAATCATAAAATATATTTTTTTGCATTTAAATCTTGAATTGTCTACATTAACTATTTAGTGATTGTTGGATTAATTAGTTATATATGCTGCATGTATTACAGTTCTAATGCATATACATTTACACATAAACTATAGAACTTTAATGTTTATATTCTGTAGTACTGTACATGCTATATTCATTGATGTTAGCATAAATTTTAAATTTCAGCAAATATTGAATTAAGTGGGTTATTTTCACTTGTACAGAGTATGCGCTTGTTCTTGTTAATTGTTTTTCTGGATTTTATTCACATACAAAGGATAATAAATCGTCAGGTGAAAGTTAATTTGCAGTGCAGAGTTTTACTTCAGTACAGTACTTCTGTAGTGGTTGCTGGGGTCTGACTGCATGAATGTCTGCTTAAACATACCTGTGGTAAAGTACTTTTCAGCCACTGTATTTTATACATATATATATATATATATATATATATATGAGTATATATATATATATATATACAGAGTATATACATATATATATATATACACGACTATATACTACCATAGGGGAAACCTTAACAATGGAGAGGGTTAGAAATAATACCTTAAGGCGAAAATACTGCCGCTAAGGGGAAATTTTAACGACTTTAAGGCAAAATGTAGACAAAGGATTTTTCACCCTATGAGTTAGAAGTAGTATATACAGTATATATATATATATATATACACACACACACACACACACACACACATACATCAGTGCCAGATTAAGCATCGTCTGGCCTCAAGGCACATTTTGGAAATGGCCCAAAAACAGTAGAATGTAAAATAGAGTGTAAATAATATTGCAGTAATATTTTGATGGCCCATCATTTTCACCTGGCCCACAAGGCTTGTGCCTTATTTGCCTAATGGTTAATCCGGCACTGACATACATTAAATAATGAGTCAAATGGTATCGGGTATATATTCCACAACATTTATATGAAAACTAGCAAGTACTTTCAACCATAAGGCTATGACTTGATATAACATAAACATGGAGTAACCCCTTGCTCTTCCAAAAGATGTAATGGGTTCTATAAAGAACTTTGATTAGTTGCATACTTTTTTTTTGCAAAAAAGTAGAAACAGTACGAAGTACCAATTTTGCTGAAGCGAAAACTCTGATAGAAATGTAAAATCGCATGCACATGAGCTGATGCTTTCGACTCGCACGAATAAGTTTAAAAGTAAAAAACGGGCTGTAAGCGCATGCGTGTTCACATTTCTATGGGAGTTTTTGGGAAGCAAAAAAATGCGTAACCAATCAAAACTTGGGAAGCGAACTGACACTTTGATTCGCCTAGTCAAAAGCCGGTTTCCCACTAGGCGAATTTATTCTCGCGAATTTAAAGCGTCGGTTCACATGCATGCATGGCATTCACATTTAGGCCTACATCGGGGTTTTCGCTTCAGCGAAATTGGAAGTTCGAACTGTTTCTTACTTTTTGCAAAGCGAAAAAAATGTGCAACCAATTTATTCGCGAGAATAAATTGGTCTAGTGGAAAACGGGCTTCAGGCTGTAGCCAGCAGCGCCACTGCCTTACCCCTCCGCCACTTAACTCATACTAAGTGGTAAAACACTTAGTATGAGAGTGCCACTACATAGATCAACGAAAAATATCACAGACTAAATATTAGTAACATTCTCACTAAATTAATCCAATAGCAATCACAGTGTTCAAATAGGGCATAATATCGTGTAGCATAGCTCTCAACGAGTGTAGTCCTATAAATAAATGAATAAAGAAATTGTGTAATAAAATGCCTCTGACAGCACGAACCTGTGATCTCGCGCTGTGACAGTGAGCGTCATAACCATTAGACCACAGAGGCTTCATGGTTGAACAGATTCAAATACCACCAGATACATTACAAAGTAGGTAACTGATCATAACATACATGTTTCTAATCATTTTATTAAAAAATGTGCACCTAAAGTGTCCGGCGGCCAGGGTTTCAATCCCTCGATGTGTATTTCGCTTGTGTCATTGAGCTGTAATATCTGCATATGTTTCCCTCCACCCATGAGTGTAAGTGGGTACCTACAGTAAGAACTTCTATGATCTCAAAACTACGATCAACATTTAGAGATAAGGATAATACACATATCCAATGTGAAATGTCAGAAATGACATTTTGCATTATTCTGCACCAAATAGAAATGTTAACTCCTGAACAAAATGTGATCAAAATCAAAACTATATGACTAACAACAGGCATGGTAATTAGATAATTGTAAGTAACTAGGTCAAATGTTAAAAATATCAATGAATTATATTCCAGTCATTTTTTAAGCGAAACCTTGCACGTAAGACGACAACTAGAGCATTTGCACTGTAGATTGGCACATACAAGATCACATATCGTATTTTTGAAACAGTGTAAAAAATTAGATCTCATACCAGATGGACTGTTAATCAAGAACCCACTGTTGAACACATCTTCAAGACCAAGTAAAAGCAACAAGATCATCCTTGAGGCTTCTAAAAAACAAATCGCAACTGATGACGCATACAATAATCAGCACAGAATAAATAAGGACATCGCCAATGTCACTGATCAACTATCAAAACTTGTATCCAGGAATGATGGTAAGCAAATCAACAACTTTCTATACTCTACATATAATGAAGAGCTCCACAAATGCTTCAGATCTAAACGTGAAAAAATCAAGAAGTTGTCTAGAAGAGATCCACTACTGCGAGGGCTATGTGACAATCCTAATTCAGCTCTATTTAGTTGCTTCCCGAAAACTACTGCTAACGATAATGACAGCCGTCCAACAATTATTGCTAATTTATCTAATCACGACTTAACGACAGACCAAATATCCGTCCTACAGAAGGGCTTATCATATTGTCCAACCCGCAAGCCTGATCCAATTAATCTCTGCTCTGATCTGGATGACTTTACAAGGAGAATTCAACTCAAAGAGTATTTCAAAGATGCACCACTTAATAACTCAGAAAAACAAGGCAATGCACATTGCAATAGGAGAAAGACAACAAAAAATGACAAGAAACGTTGGACACCACCTAGCAACAGGAACACTTATATAGATAACTTTGTGAACGCTGCCAAATCGCACCTGGATATGTTCATTCAAAACAATATTATTGATGTAAAACCTAATAAGCAAATTTCGAATGACAACCTTAAGAAAAATGAACGCACGGCCATTAAAGAACTCAGACAGAATACCACCATAACTATTAAGCAAGCTGATATCTTGATACTGATATGTATATCAATGAAATAAATCGACAGCTATCCGATGTATCAACATATACCACATTACCGGCCGATCCAACTGACACATACAGAGAAAAACTATGTGACATGCTGCAATCGCTTGATACTAATACTCAAGATCTAGTCCAACCACTAGTTCCAAAATCACCAAAACCAGGCACAATATACTGTCTACCCAAACTTCACAAGCTCCCGTCAATTATATCAAGGATGCGTTAAACAGTTCGACTTCGGAACCACCGACCTACGATCTATCTGATCCGGTTGTCATTTACATCATTTAAGTCATTAAACATCACACCTCCAGGCAGACCTATAATTTCAGGTATTGGAACACTCACAGAAGCATTATCAGGCTTTATTGACTCTATTCTGAACCCTTTACTTCATAATATACCTAGTTACACCGAGGACACTACGCACTTTCTCAACAAATTGAATATCCCACCTAGATGATGATGCGTTGCTCGTAACTATGGACGTGTGCTCTCTTTACACCAATATACCTCATAACGAAGGAGTAACTGCTTGCGAAAAATTTCTCACGGACTACCATTCAGAATTACCAGCTAAGGACATTTGCAAAATAATTGATTTTATTCTTAAACACAATTATTTTAGCTTTAATGGCTCTTACTACCTCCAAACAACAGGTACAGCAATGGGAACCAAAATGGCCCCATGCTATGCGAATGTCTTTATGGCAGAATTAGAAAATGATTTACTGTCTAGCCTAGTATTTAAACCTTCTCATTATATTGATGACATATTTTTTATTTGGGAACATGGTAAAGATAAGCTTATAGATTTTATATCTATCATCAATAATTATCATCATAGTATTAAGTTCACTGTTGAATATTCTAATGAGTCCATTCCATTTCTAGATGTATTAGTTGGCAGAAACGGAGGCAACATATCTACATCCATATATTACAAACCTACAGACAATCATCAATACCTTGACTTTTACAGCTACCGTACCATCCTATCACTCTTAAACGGTCTATCGTGTACAGTCAGTGTCTCAGACTCAAGCGAATCTGTTCGGACCCTACAGACTACCAACAACAGCTGTCTCGCCTCACTACTAACTTTTTGAATTGTCACT